TCACTCTGGGTGTTGTATGTGGAATGGACTATATAGGTGGCAGGAGTAGAAACAGGAAGATCAGCTACATGGCCACTGCAGTAACCCAGGGAGGAAGTGCGGTGCCTTTGGTGGAGGTGGTGAGAAGTGCCTCCACCACCTCCTTTAAAGTGCTTCTGGATGTGCTTTAAAGACAGGAGTGAAAGACTCTGCTGTGGTGAGTTAGGGAAGGAGTCACTGGGAAGTTCCTGGTCAGTTGCGGGGGAAAAAGAGGGGACTCAAAGATAACTCCATGTTTTTTACCTTAGCAATTAGAAAGTTAGAGTTGCCATTTAATGAGAGAAGAAAGACCATGGGAGAAGCCAGTATGTGTAGGGAAGTTCAGGAGTTTATTTCTGGACATAGAAGCTTGATATGTGAGTTATGTGCTCAAGTGGAGATGTCAGGTTAGTTGCTGACTGTGGGAGATTCAAGTTCGGAGGCAATGTCTGACTTCAGTGACAATTGTCTGACATATAACTTTAGGACTCATTAGTATTTAAGGACAATTAGGGAGAGAATTAGTGAACTGAATATGGGTTTGAAGAATGCAAAATGTGGCAAAGAGTGATAAAATAATAGGCCTGGAGGAAAGGAGCAAGATGCTCCACCGTATGTCAAGAGGAGATAGGAAGAGTGGGAGAAGACATGATGCTTGGAAAATACGTGGCTACTAGTTTTTCAGAATCGATGAGAGATATGAATTTGTACATTTGAAAGTCCAGAGAATATCAAGCAGAGTGAATAAAAGTGAAAGTATATGTTGATGTATCGAGTGAAATTGAAGATTAGAACAAATAAATGCCCCAAATCTTAAATAGCAGAGAAAAGAACAGATGAGGCCAGGTATGGTGGCTCATGCCTGGAATCCTGGCACTTCGTGAGGTTGAGGTGAGTGGATCACCTGAGGTCAGGAGTTTGAGACCAGCCTGGCCAACATGGTGAAACCTGGTCTCTACTAAAAATACAAAAATTAGCTAGGTATGGTAGTGTGTGCCTGTAATCCCAGCTACCTGAGAGGCTGAGGCAGGAGGATCGCTGGAACCCGGGAGGTGGAGCCTGTAGTGAGCCAAGATCATGCAGCTGCCCTCCAATGTGGGCAACAGAGTAAGACTTTATCTCAGGAAAAAACAAAACAAAACAGATGAATCTAATTGTCAACTGGATTGGCAGTTCACTTCTACACAGCAAAAATAAACACTAAAGGTACTAGAATTGTCAAGGTATTGAGAGAAAATAACTGTCATGCTGCATAGCTAACCTGTCATTCAAGAACAAAGGAAAAATAAAGATTTTCAGGCACAGTTTTCTATTAGCAGACTTTTAAAAATCTTCTGAAGAATATATTTCAGGAAGAAGCCAGTTAAGTGAGCTGCAAAAACCAGTAGTGGGGTGCAGGGGAAATACAAGTATATGGGAAATCTCACCAAGTAATAAATGCACAGAACAACAAAAACGAGAATAACAAATCCAGATTATGGGGAAAAGACAGAGGTAAATTGCTGGCGATAAAAATATGTAAGATCAGAGAGTGATAATCAAAGTTAAAAGTTTCTTGCAGTGATTGTGAGTGGAATTGAGCTATTGATTAGATTTCTTTGTCTTCAACTTTCAAGTTCAGGGGTACATGTGCAGGATGTGCAGGTTTGTTATACGTAAATGTGTGCTATGGTGGTTTGCTGCGTAGATTGTCCCATCACCTAGATATTAAGCCCAGCATCCATTAGCTTTTGTTTCTGATGCCCTCTCTCCCCCTGACCCCCACCAAAAGGCCCCAGTGTGAGTTTTTCCCCGCTACGTGTCTACGTGTTCTTATCATTTGGCTCCCACTTATAAGTGTTAGCATGTGGTGCTTGGTTTACTCTTCCTTCAATAGTTTGCTGAGGATAATGGCTTTCACCTCCATCCATGTCCCTGCAAAGAACATGATCTTGTTCTGTTTTGTGGCTGTATCGTATTCCATGTTGTATATGTACCATGTTTTCTGTATCCAGTCTATCATTGATGGGCATTTGGGTTGATTCCATGTCTTTGCTATTGTGAATAGTGCTGCAATGAACATATATGTGCATGTATCTTTATAAAAGAATAATTTATATTCCTTTGGATATGGACCCAGTAAAGGGATTGCTGGGTTAAATGGTGTTTCTGCCTCTAGGTCTCTGAGGAATCACCACACTGTCTTCCACAGTGGTTGAACTAATTTATCCTCCCACTAATAGTATAAAAGTGTTCCTTTTTCTCTACAACCTTGCCAGAATCTGTTATTTTTGACTTTTTAATGATAGCCATTCTGACTGGTGTGAGATGACATCTCATTGTGGTTTTGATTTGCATTTCTCTAATGATCAGAGATATTGATTAGATGTTGTTAGGTGAGGTGTGCAGGTTGTTAAATTTAACACTTAAAAATAAAACTTCCAGATCATTGGAGGTTAAAGAAAGAAATAAAGAAAACTTGGCTAATGTAACAGAGAAGAGAAAATGAAAGGGGCAGATAAAAATATAATAACAGAAATAACAAATTATTATAGAAATTTAAAATTGAATAATTATGATCTATATAAGTAAACTCACTATTTTTAAAAGACAGAGAGAATCAGATTGGTTAAATAAAATCCGTAAATTTGTTACACTTGGATGTGTGATGGTCATTTCAGACGCAGGAAACAAAACTTATTTCCTGGCTCTTCATGTGTCCATGTCAAGAGGCCTACTGCAGTAATGTTCCTGGCCTCTGGTCCTAGTGCTATGGCTTCTTCCCACAACCAGTGGCCCAGGAGTTTCTAGATTGAGTCAAGCTAATCTAATAAAATGTTGCAAAACCTGAAAATCCACTTCTTTTCTTTCCTTTCTGCCTTGGATCTATATGAGGTAGCAATACTGGGTAAGTGTGTCTTCCCTGAGATTTTAACTTTTCCTTGGGTGTGCTCTTCTTTTTTTTTAAAGGCAGGGTTTCACCATGTTGGCCAGGCTGGTCTCAAACTCCTGACCTCAGATGATCTACCTGCCTCAGCCTCCCAAAGTGCTGGGATTAGACCACACCCAGCTGGTAAGCTCTTCTATGATCTGGACTGGAAGGTGGAGGCAGAGACAGCGAAAGACAGAGAGGGAGAGAGAACCAGCCACACTGGCTTTCACAAACAAGTCACATTCCCCACACATCTTTAGTAAGAAAGGTGATGTTTCATCTCTCTGCTTGACTCTAGAAGCTTTTGGTTTCAAACCAGAAATGGGAATTGAGGTGTTGGTGGTTAAGCCTCCTCTCCACCGAACAAGATTTCCAAACCGTAGTATGGGTTTTCTTCTTAAACTTGCTCCTCCTGCAGTCTTCTATCTCAGAAAATGGCTATTCAATTCTTCTAATCACCTTGGATGTGCCCTTTCCATTACATCTTATATCCAACCCAACAGCAAACTATCTTGGCTCTGCCTTCAATATAACATTTAGAATCTGACCATGGCTCCCTACTTTCAGTGCTACCCACCCCGGCTCTGCCACCCATGGAAGTTTCTCACCTGGAATATTGTCATAATCTGTTCTTCAGTGCAAATCAGATCCTGTCATTCATCTATTCCATTTAACTCAGAGGAAAGTCCAGCATCCTTATTATCACCTCAAGGCCTTTTGGGAGCTGTCCTCCCTCCATCTTGCCAGCCCACCCCAGGCTGACCTCTTCTGTGCTCTCCCTGTGACCCTTTGCCCTATTTACAGAAGTGGGATTGGCCACCTGCTGTCTCCAAGTGTGCCCAAGCCTGCTTTTGACTGTGGGCTTGTTCCCCATCTCTTTCTTAAGCTTGGGATCTATTTTTTGCAGTTTTTCTCTGGCTTGCTTCCTGATTTTCTTGTCTTCTCAAGCACCACTTTATCTGCAAATTCTTCACTGACCACCCTCCCCAAAACAGTACCATTTCCACTCCCCCATACCCTCTTACTCTAATCTGTTTTTCTTCATACCTCTTTTATTACCTTGTTCGGTATTGTCTTTCTTTGTCTCCTGCCCTGTGACTGCCGCCAGTAGACTATAAACTCCTCGAATGCAGGGGCTTTGTTGAGTTCACTTCTGTTCTCCCTTTGCCTAGAACTGTACCTGGCACAGAATAACCAGTGAATACGATTTTTGTTTTGAGTTAACTGTGAATGCTATTTGTGAGAGGTAATCCTAAAATATGGAATAGGAAACTGAGAATGTTATTCCAGGAAAATATTAACCAAAAGAAAGCTGGAGTGGCTAGTGGTATGAATGACTGGCAAGGCAGACTTTAATGCCAAAACAATATTTAAGATAAAGACAATCACTATACCAAGAGAAAAACAGAAAAATTTCTAGTAAGATACAAGAAATTGTATCCCCCATGTGTCCCCCATCCCCATGTTACCACTTGGATCTGTACGATGCAAACATTTTAAATTAAATTTGGAATTTTCCAAGTTACATTTGGAAATGGACAGATCTGAAGTCATGATGAGGAATTTTGACATGTCCAGCTCAGTAATTCATAAAAAAAATATTAGGTAGGATTTGGGAGATTAAAATTTAAAAGCTTGATATAATGGATACACATCCTTGTTCCCAAGATGTGTATCCATTCTTGAATGTTCATGACACATGAAACAATTTCCTAAATGCCAAAAACTAATATCAAACATACTGTGGTCTCTCACCACAGTGCAATCAAATTAGAAAGCAATATAAAATATTAATCATTATCCATAATTGAAAATTTAAAACACAATTTTAAGTATCCCCTGGGTCAAAGAAGAGTCCATTACGGAAATTTAAAAATATCCGGAAGTGAAGGATAGCACCAGTGTTAGAGAACAAAACTAATGAGATGCAATTAACATTGTAAATGGAAAGATGACTGGATCCTAAATGCTTCCATTGGAAAGGAAGAGGACTATGAAATAAGAACTAAGTGTCCAAGTGAAGAAGCTTGCAAAGACTCAAACTTCGTTTTTTTTCTTCTCATTTTAAAAGAAATGAAAACTTGTCCTGGCCCCTGAACGTATTGCCAGCTGTCATCCCTGCTTCTATGATGCATGTGTAGGGCGGAGATTCAGCTAAATGGAGCATCTATGGCAAGAAGCTTCAAGGTGAGCATGAAGAAAATAGAGTAAGTTCTCATGTCCTACTCATGGATTTCTCATCCAGCCTTCCAGCTGGAGCACAGCACGCAGTTGCTGAGTTGATCCTGACAGCATGTCCTCTCAAGGACTGAGATTGTCGGTGACTTTTTCTGTGTGTGATGAATCATGAGGTGTCTTAGCAGAAGTGAGAAGATTGGAATAGGCTAATTAGCTTCTGAAAGTTAAAAATTGATGTGGTAGAAGAAAAATAATAATTATTTTTGCTTAACCTCTATTTTCCATATCAAAATAAGATACACTAAGTGACAGAAACTTTGCTTTTAAAGACAAGTAAGGACGCAAGAAAGATGTCTGCTCTGAATTCATCATTCACATGGCTAACTTTCTTCCTTCTTTTGGGTCTTTGCTGAAATGTCATTTTATCCCAGAGGACATCTCTGAGCACCATGTGTAAAATGGCAACATCCCCTAATACTAAACACCCCAACCCCCTTGCTCTCCTTTATTGATCCCTATGCCCCATCAGGAATGGGAACTGACTTGGCAGTGACTTGGTGTCTTGTTCACTGTTGTTTCTACAATGTATGGTTATGGTTGACATAAATATTTAAATGTCAATTGGCATTTGATGAATAAAACATAAATGTGTTTGCTTGAGTATTTATTAAAATGGGGACCCTGGACTTGAACCCTTGGCAGTTGCAATTGCTGACCACGTTGGAAGCTTCAACTATCATCCGGTTTAGTGGTCAGAGTTGATTTGGCTAATTTGAATGATTCAGCAAGTCTTTCATACTTATTCATTATGCTAATTACATCATTCCCAATCTGCATGGTCCAGGGGAGTAGATTTTCTTGTCTATAGACTGTCAGACTAGAATAGACAAGAAGATTTGCTCTCTTTTTAGAATCTCTGCAAATGTGTTGAAGATATATTTGTGGAGAAAAAAAATTCTCCATTCTTCCTTCTCTCATATGTGAATCTGGGCTTGGACATTGAGAGCAATTCATGCCTGTCAACCTGAACAAAGAAAATTTAAGAAAAGAGATACAGGAAGATACTGAAAGTGAAGTCCTGATAGGACTTTATAACTTAAAGTCTCCCAGGACACCCCAGTTTTCTGGTAGTGATAGAAAGTAATATTTCTTAGAGCAATTGGACAAATAAAATGGCACTGGCCTGAGTGAAAAATGGGGTTATGATGACCCTGAATGACTGTGGTTAGTATATGGGTAGTAATGAGGCTCTTTATCCTCTATCTTTGTTGACAGGTCATTCTTGCCATTAGTAACTGGAACAAGAGTTAAAATGCATGTGGCATTTCCAAAATGCCATTTCTTATTGAAAGGTTAGGGCCATAATAAAGTTTTAGGGAACATATGAGGCCATCTTTCTTGTTTATTGTAAGATGTGTGGTTAAAAGGTTTGCTGTCATCCATGCCAAAGATGCTATGATTGCAAGCTAGTAACAGCTTGGTTTCTAAACATTCAGTGACCTGATATCATGAATGATTAGTGTGTTGGAAAGAGCGATTATTCTTTTCACATATGTATTTTAACTCTAGGGAGCCTCTTATGTGAGATGTATGCAGACATGTTTCATGGTGAGCGAAATGATTTCCTTTAAATTTCAAATAGATGTCAAAACACCATGTGATAAAATCTACAATGCAAGTTATATGATAAAAGTAAAGTTATTTTCATAAGAACAATTTTGCATAGGATAAGAGTAAAGTTCTTTAAAATGTTTTCTTTGACTCAGAAGAATTCATTATAGAACTTATGTTGACCTAAAATTGGAACATGATGAAATTAAATTTGAAGTATCACAAAGTGATTTATGGGACCAGCCACCTGTCACATCTGAATCAAAGTTCAGAGTAGTTGCTGTTTTACTTAATAGCACACCTTTACTAACGATTATAAGGAATGAAGACAAAGTAAAATGTGTAGAATTTATGGAACACTGTGGAACGCATTAGTGATTAATGGGTATGAAATATCAACTATATAAACCTACAAATATTTAGCACCTTTTATTTTACAAGGTGTTCCACATCTATTAGCTTATTAAGCACGCAGAACAACCTCAGTTTCAGTATTTATCTTGGGTCAGTTTTACCTGTTCTTGGGGATATTCAGGAAGGAAGGTACTCAGGAATATCTATTCCAAGACACATCCTTCTTAAGTGGCAGAGCCTGGAATCTTCTGCCTTTTTTCCTACCAGTCCCCATGCTGAAGGTTGAAATCTGGCAACCTCCTTGTCTTGAACCACTATGTTGGCTGTTTAATACTGGGTGCTGCAGATGTGTACGTGAAGATGGCAGAAAATGTTCATATGAATGAAAGAGATGATAAAATAGATGTTTCAAAATAATTTAGAAAGCCACCATAAAGGAATAAGTTCTGCCCCAAATGCTAACAAGGGGCAATTTGAATATAAGCAGTACAGCATTTATCTTGACTACTTTCTAGACTGAAATTGGCATATTTAACCTATAATTTAAAAATTGGTCATCCATATATGTAGTTTAAAAATTGGAGGGCATAAAAAAGCTTATAATGAAAGGCAGTGTCTTTCAAAGGCACTGACTGATCCCAGTCTTCTCCTCCCAATCCCGAGCTCCCACCTTTATGAGTTCTGTATTGACTTTGATATTGCCAGGGTGCTAACGTTGATAATCTGAATTTTAACATGGATTAAGTCTCCTGTGCTTTGGATATAGAATGATTAAAACACAATAAACAGCAATAGCCTCCTAACTGGTCTTTATGCTTCCACCTTTGCCCTTCTAATATGTGCTCATCATAGCAGCCTGAATGATGTTGTTGAAGATCACATCACTCATCGGGCCTTGTTCCCTACAATGTCCACCATTCACTCAATGTGAAAGCAAAGTCCTTCTAAGGACCTATGAAGCCCTACACAACCCACCCACCTCCTCCCACTCAACTTCCCTCCCACCTTCCCATGCTCTCTCTTTCATTTGCTCTGAAAGTCACCAACTACAAAGACCACAGGTAGATAAATCCACAAAGATGGGAAGAAGCCAGCACAAAAAGGATGAAAACACCCAAAACCAGAATGCCTCTCCTACTCCAAGGGATCACAACTCCTCACCAGCAAGGGAACAAAGCTGGATGGAGAATGAGTCTGATGAATTGACAGAAACAGGCTTCAGAAGGTGGGTAATAACAAACTTCTCTGAGCTAAAAGAGCATGTTCTAACCCAATGCAAAGAAACTAAGTACCTTGAAAAAAGGTTAGATGAGATGCTAACAAGAATAAACAGCTTAGAGAAGAATATAAATGACTTGATGGAGCTGAAAAACACAACACGAGAGCTTTGCAAAGCATGCGTAAGGTTCAATAGCAGAATCAACCAAATAGAAGAAAGGATATCAGAGATTGAGGATCACCTCAATGAAATAAAATGAGAAGGCAAGACTAGAGAAAAAAGAGTGAAAAAAAATGAACAAAACTTCCAAGAAATATGGGATTATGTGAAAGGATCTAATCTTCATTTGATAGGTGTACCTGAATGTGACAGAGAGAATGCATCCAAGCTGGAAAACACTCTTCAGGATATTATCCAGGAAAACTTCCCAACCTAGCAAGGCAGGCCAATATTCAAGTCCAGGAACTATAGAGAACACCACAAAGATATTTCTCAAGAAGAGCAACCCCAAGGCACATAATCATCAGATTCACCAGGGTTGAAATGAAGGAAAAAATGCTAAGGGAAGCCAGAGAGAAAGGTCAGATTACCCACAAAGGGAAGCCCATCAGACTTACAGTGGTCTCTCAGCAGAAATCCTACAAGCCAGAAGAGAGTTGGGGCCAATATTCAACATTCTTAAAGAAAAGAGCTTTCAACCTAGAGTATCATATCTAGTGAAACTAAGCTTTGTAAGTGAAAGAGAAATAAAATCCTTTACAAACAAGCAATTGCTTAGAGATTTCATCACCACTAGGCCCGCCTTACAGGAGCACCTAAAAGTAGCACTAAACATAGAAAGGAAAACCAGTACCAGCTACTCCAAAAAGGTACCAAATGGTGAAGAGCATCAACACAATGAAGAAACTGCATTAACTAATGGACAAAACAACCAGCTAGCATTAAAATGGCAGGATCAAAATCACACATAACAATATTAACCTTAAATGTAAATGGGTTAAATGCCCCAATCAAAAGACACAGACTGACGAATTGGATAAAAAGTCAAAACCCATTGGTGGGCTGTATCCAGGAAACCCATTTCACATGCAAGGACACACATAAGCTCAAAAGGATGGAGGAAGATTTACCAACCAAATGCAGAGGAAAAAAAAAACCAGGAGTTGCAATCCTAGTCTCTGATAAAATAGACTTTAAACCTACAAAGATAAAAAGAAGGGCATTACATAATGGCAAAAGGATCAATGCAACAAGAAGAGCTAACAATCCTAAATATATATGCACCCAATACAGGAGCACCCAGATATATAAAGCAAGTTCTTAACAACCTACAAAGAGACTTAGATTCCCACACAATAATAGTGGGAGACCTTAACACTCCACTGCCAATATTAGATCAATGAGACAGAAAGTTAACAAGGATATTCAGGATTTGAACACAGATCTCAACCAAGCAAACCTAATAGACATCTATAGAACTTTTCACCCCAAATCCACAGAATATACATTCTTCTCAGCACCACATTGCACTTACTCTAAAATTGACCAGATAATTGGAAGTAAATCACTCCTCAGCAAATGCAAAAGAACAGAAATCATAACAGTCTCTCAGACCACAGTGCAATCAAATTAAAACTCATGATTAAGAAACTAATTCAGAACCACACAACTTCATGGAAACTGAACAACTGGCTCTTGAATATTGACTGTATAAACAGTGAAATGAAGGCAGAAATAAAGATGTTCTTCGAAACCAGTGAGAATGAAGACACAACGTACCAGAATTTCTGGGACACGTTTAAAGCAGTGTCTAGAGGAAAATTTA